TTCAACACATTGATGTGTTGGGTCAAATCTGAGCCCTCTGACATCTTAAGACCATATAGTTTTTGCTTAAGGTAGAGCTTGTTCGTCAACGACTTGGACATATACCGACTTTTCAGTTTCAACCAAACTTCCGCCGGTGATTCCTCATCCATGAAGTGATGTATCACTTCATTAGCTAGACAAAGCTTAATAGTCGCCACAGTCTTCGCTTCCAATTCTTTACAATCCATGTCGTTCATTCCTGCCGGTTGTTTTCCATATAACGCCTTCACCATGCCCTGCTGCACTAACAGGTCCTTCACCCTCCTCTACCATAATCCGAAATTTTTAGTTCCGTCGAACTTCATGATGTCGAATTTTGTAGAAGAAATCCTAGACATCGTAGTCTAGCTTTGATACCAGTTGTTGTGATCGTGCAGCAATTATGGTGAATAATAAGGAATCAAACAATTAAGAAAGCAAGAGAAAATAACACACAGAGATTTACGTGGTTCGACAATCATATTTTAGGGATAATAATCTGTTAGAGCAATTATCCGCTTCGCTACGTTCCGCTTCGCTCCACTCCGCTACGCTCCGCCCGCTCTGGCATCTGCCTCCTTGTCATTGTGCACACAGCAAATATGAGCCACACATACTCTAATAGATTATTATCCCTAAAATGTGGTTGTGCCATTATACACATCTAAAAAAAGGGACTTGTGTGTTGGGAGTTTAAACAAAGGCCAGTTGCCCCCGCATGCTAAAAATAAGATAAAAGAAAGGGCCGAGAGATCTTTTACAAAGGTAAATGACTGACGGTTATAGAAGAGGTAATTCCTTCAGCAAAGAAATGTGAAAAACCCACTAACTAAGAATTGGTTACTAATGGAGGAGGTGCTAGTTGTTGGCATGTTGAAGGAAAGCTAGCTGCCCTTATATGCAAACAAAAAATCCTCTATAAATGGTAAAATGAAGTGCATAAACTTGGCATCGTGTGAAGTAGTTTCGCAGCCCACTAAAGTGTCAGTTTCTAGAAAATCTTCTATAAATATCAGGAGGGGAGATGTAAAGCAGAAAGAAGAGAGTACGGCTAACAAAAGAAGAAGGGAAGAAAGGCGAAAAAAAAAAGAGAGTTTTTAGGAGAGAAGCCAAGGGCTTACTTCAGCATACTCTCCCTTTCTCTTTGATTTAATGTCTTGAATTTTGGTTGCAGCAAATGGGAGTTTAAAGCCAAAGCAGCCCAAAACAATGGCGCTGAATCCGAATCACCTCAGTTATGAATCTAAGGAGTTTTCAACTCCTAAAGTTCGGTCGATGCAAAAGTCTCAAAAGCTTTATACTTTTCCCAGCTAGAACCTTGCCCTCTACTTGGACCAAGAACTCTCGGAAGTCATCCGACTTCTCGCGGCAAAGGCTATTGATATGATCGAGCATGCACACGAAGCCAACAACAAAAATATTGTTGCAGCTACTACCCAAATCCAAAAATCAGCAACAAAAGAAAACCAAGAAGGGTGGGGAATCAACAAGAGTTTTGCACTCTTTCAATTTCGATGTTTTCGACGATGCCTATTGTTCTTTTGAGTCACTGTTAAAGAGTCTCAAACTTTTTAAAATAAGAACGTTCCAGTGATTCTGAACCACTTCTGAGGTCACAAATCATGAGAGTTTCTTACTCTTTAAGTTCGCGGCGTAACAAAAAAATATTTCTCGAGTTTTAAACTCATCTAAGAACCATCAAGAGTCTTTGACTCTTTTATCTTTTATCAAGTCACGGAGTCTTCGACTCCCCTCTGAAAAAATCACCAAAGTGAATACACTTGTATAAGAGGCTTTGGCTCTTTAAGAATTACATGAATTAAAGGAGTTTCTAACTCCTCATCATCCTCATTGGTGTATTACATCACCTTTGTTCCAGCAAATGCGAAAATAAAATGGCAGTAACTTTTAGTATTTCATAGACCCATTCAAGATTGCTTCTTTGGTCTTTCAAAGACCACAAGGGTGAAATGAAGGCATACTTTTTGACTCTAAATTGAAATTTTAACTTAGCAAAAAAGTTTTGGAGCCTTTGACTCCAAGCTGGAGTTTTCAACTCCTCTTTATCCATTCCAATGAGTCATCTTTTGTCAATTCTTGGTTTCTCTAAAACAATGTGAAAGAGTTATGGACTTTTTTTTTTTTTAAAGCCATAAATTAATGGAGTTTCAAACTCCTAAAAATTTGAGAATTTTTAACTCCTTAAAAAAAATCTAGAGTCTTTCATTCCTCTCACGCGCACACCAACCGAAATGATACTTTGAATGACATCTCTGACAATAGCCTGTATGGCCGAAATTCATATACAAAAAGAAATTATATAAAGTAGTTTAATTTAATTCGGAGCCTTGGACCGGAGAAGAGTTTCTAACTCTTCGAATAGGATCCAAATTCTTTGACTCCTTTACATAAACAAGTGAACAATTAAAAAAAGAGTCGTTAGCCTTGGGCTCCTTCTGGGCAACATGAGTACTCTGGATTTAGATTTATCTATTTAAGTTCTTCATTATTTTTTTTTGTAGTTTTAAGCTCCTACAAATTAAATAGTGCAAAAATTAAATTAAAAATTTTATAACTCTTTATTAAATTTCGGAGTTTTAAACTACTCAATGGTCTCTATTAAGGGGTTTTGGACCCCCAATAAATTTTTGAGTTCTTAAGTCACAACCTATGTGAATCCTAAAATTCACATAAGTTTAAGTAGTTTTAAATACGTGTCAAGTTCATCTCAAAGAACAATAGGTCATTTATTCATTTCAAACTAAATCAAGTTAAATTTTCAATTAAATGAGTCATTCACTCATTTAAAGTCCCACTCAAATTCAAAATCATTTTCAAGAACTACAGTTGACTTGATTCTCTTTTAGTTACGTATGCAATTTAATTAAAGTAGGTGCAATTGCAAGTTTAAATCAACTTCAAATAGATTCAAAATTCTTGTCCTGAACTACGAATCGGTTTGATCCCGATAACGAGTACGTAGAGCAGCCTATGCAATTGACCGAAGTCTAGCTACCATCACAAATAAAATACGTACCCTTGTGGGATAAATGGTAACGCGTGGTAATTTCTCGTTGAAATCAAATGGTGTTCTATTGAAACAAGAGATTATAATTAACGGATATATGCTATCTGGAATAGGTCCAACTACATTAATAAAACTCGTATAATTCCTCGTTATATGAGTAAAGTTGTGTTTGAAAAAATATTCAAATTTTTGTCTAACACAATTCTCGGCAAACAATAGGGTAAACCTAAAGGGGTAACTCAAGTAATAACAGAGACGAAGTATAAACTCAGACGTCCTGAGTTCGAATCTTGATAATCCATTGGGGCTAATCTATGAGGAATTTATCCATCATGAATGCCCTAATCCTGACATGTATGATACGCATCAGATCAAATTAGAGAGAGGATTAATCACCGTGTAAGTAAATTGACTCGATATCTTTGACCGTTGAACTAAAAAATAAACAAAAAAATAATTGAGTCTCGAGTGATAAGGGCCACATAGATGAAGCATTTTTTTTTTTTTTGGCTCATTGAGTTATTTATTAACAACAGAGCACCTCTCACATAGGATAGTTATGCAGTGGAAAATCAAACATAGGGAACCATTAGGGTCTCATTTTTTATTTCTTATTAATTTGGTCCCAATCTAGTTGTCCTCTTTGAGGAAATTCTTGAACCAGTAGGAAGAGTTCTTATAGGCTCTGCTCAAGTAGCCTTTCTTCTGATCATTAGTTTCATCGTAGTTCACGTAGATGATGCCAAAACGAACAGTGTAGCCATCCAGCCATTCGAAATTGTCCAATATCGACCATAAAAAATATCCTTTCACATTTACTTTATCGTTCCTGAAACAATTCAATCAATATATATATATTCAAAGTTAACGATGAAATTTTTTTTAAAAAAAATGGGAAATTATACTTTATCCCGATTTCATTTTGATCTAAATTAGTGAGTTTTCTCACATTACTTCCTCAACTATAAGAATTGGTTTGGACTTTTCCAAAACAAAATGTACGCATGTTCTATTTTGAACGGACGACAACAAATGTCCTCGTAGCATTAGATTTTGTGCATGGTGACATAAAATCACACAGTATCGGGGACAATGAATCTTAAAGATTTATGAATTAACTCATGCTTGACTAGCCAAGTAAATGAACAATCAACATTCGTTCACGTCGGGAAGTATTTTTTTCCCCCCAAACTCCATTGTTTAAAGCACTAAGAATTCAAGTATAACATACTTCATATGAAAATGTCCTCTATCAGTGCAAGATAAGTGAATTACCATCTAGTGAAGTCGAGGAATAATTATTTTGAAGGGGATTCAATAGGCCATTTAAAGTAATTAATACTCACGTAATGGCATCTTGAAGGGCTGAAAGATGGTCTCGGTGGTAGTTTTTTCTCATCCAGTCCTTTAAATAATAGCTTTTCTTCCCATCAAATCCTATAAAATTAAAGTAATTAGGAGAAAAAATTTTCAAAACAGTTAATTATACTTGCAATTATGCAATAAAATATATATATATGTGTGTGTGTGTGTGTTACCATTCTCAGTGACGTAGATCAATGGATCATTATAATTATCTTTGTTGTAGCGCAAAATCTCTCGAAATCCTTTAGGATAACTATAGAGTCAGTCTGAGGCACCCTGCAAAATCATTTAGCACTATTATCTTGAGGATAAATTTATAGTGCAAGAAAATTAGTCTATCTTTTTTGAACATAAAATGAGTTCAAATCCCAATACAATTATCAGTTACTTAGACGATCGACAAACACGACTATTTGTGTGAAGAGAAAAAAAAAACAGTTAAATAGTGTTAAAAAGAGAGTTGGGTGGTTATTTAGAATCTAAGGTTAAATATTTTAGAAAAGAAACAAAAGGGTGTTTTCATAAATATATTAGGAGTGGATATGAAGCTCATTCTCTCCCTTTAGACGTCGCTCATGCTACGGTTCTATGCGGTCTGAACCCGGGGCTGCATTAGGTTGGGGAGCTGGGGGCGATAAGAGCTCTTTCGCATCCCAAAAGTGCGCTGCCCTCTTAGGCGCACAATACTCGGTAATCCAAGTCGACCCACATTATTGACTAGCGATGGATAATCATATTAGTAAAATAGAGAAGTCTTACAACAATAAACAAGTTGGTCAATAATCAACCTTAGTGATATGTTGGAGCTTTATTTTTTGAGCTACTACCAGGAATTCATCCCGATAATTACATGGTGCACGTGGGACAAAGTTGTATAGAACCAAGAAGATTATTTGAGTGTTCTAATAAATCCACGCACCTCCATAATCATGAAAAAATAAAAACAAAAAATATTATTTTTGTAAACACGTACCTTTTGACCAATAGGTACTCCATCTTTATTCACCTCCGAAGCAACACCTCAAAGCAAGTAAAAACGTGATAAACAATTTGTAGAACAACGAAAACTAATCGAATTAGTCAACCTGATTCGACAAAAGCGATTGAATAAACTAATTAATTGAATGAAACTTACACGTGGCATTAACGCAAGAATCAGTCAAGTAGTTTCCTGTACGACCATATAGACAGGGACGATCGATTGAATAAGAAGCAGTATAATAATTTATCCCGATGAAATCGTATGACCCTTTTACCATCTCCGATTCTGATTTTGAGAATTTGGGTAACCGCTCTTTTACATGCGTCACCATTACATTTGGGTAGGTCCCATTGTATAGAGGATCCATGAACCTTACAAAAACAAACAAGACAGCAATGAACGTTTACTTTTGTATATGTACTCCCTTTTTTGAATTTTTTTTAATGTCATAATATATTTTATATTTTACAAGTAAAAATCTTGATAATAAGACACGATTTTCAGCTTATATAAAACAAAACAACCGCTCAAATCTGACTATTTATCTTGTGACTTATATATTAATCTTATAATGACAATGAAAAAAATGTTTTGATTGTTAGAGAGGGTCTAACTTGAATATTAATACTTTAACGCGCTCCTTCATGTATAGACCAGATTTTGAGTTTACCACGCGAAAATCTTTTAATAATTAAGATGACGGCGAGATTCGAATATAAGACATCCTATTTTGATACCATGCGATATTCGAACGTGAAAAATGATGATGACTATGGTGGGTGGCAACGGTGATGGTGGTGGTAGGCTTTGGGTGACAATGATGATAGTGGTAGCCATGGGTGATGGTGCTAAGTGTGGGTGGTGGTGGTTGACAATGGTGATGGTGGGACGATAACGGTGGTGGTGAGTGACGACGGTGTTTCTTATCGACTGTATGATTGGTGGTGACGAATGAAAGCGATGGTGGTGGTGGTAGGTGTGGTGGGGGTGGTTGATAATAGTTGGCGGCGATAGTGTGCTACAGCGGGTGGTGGTGGGTGGCGATGGGCAACAATAGTGGTGATGGGTGTTGACGGTAGACGACAATGGTAATGGGATGATGATAATAAATATAAGAACGAGATGACAATGATTGTGGGTGGTGGCAGTGGATGACGGAAGTAACAATTGGTGGTGAGTGACGATATTGGTAGTGGTAGTGTGGTGGTTAGTGGGGGTGGTTGTAAGGCAGTGGCAATGGTGGTGGGGTGACGACGACGACGACGATGGTGGTGGTGGTGGTAAGGTGGCGACAGTGGTTGTGATAGTGGCGGTGATGGTAAGATGACGACAGCGGTGGCGGTGGCGGTGGTGGTGGATGGTGATAGTGGGGATGGTGGTGGTAGGGTGGCGACAGAAATGGTTGTGGTGGAAGTGATGAGGTGGTGGTGGTAGGGCGGTGGGGGTGGTGGGGCAGTGAATGTGGTGGTGGGATGGTTTTAAACACTATTTTTTTTTACAATACTTATGAGAAGTTATAACTCAAAAAAACACTTTTAAAAAGTCATGCTAAACACACTCTTAGCAATTTATTTTTTCTATTAAATTTGTGATGATAATATTAACCGTCAGATTAATTTTAAAAAATAAAATTTAAAAGATCTTAACCACAAAAATTAAAAATTATTTTATTTATCTTTTAAAATTTAAATTAGATTGTACTTTATTATATAGATAGATATATCTAACCTACTTCTAAAGAGTATGGAAAAATAAACCGTTATGCAATTGCTAGGTCTCAATCCTAGGTGGTGTCGGTTAATGAAAAGATCATGAGATTATTAGCCACATTAAAGTAGATAAGAAATGGATGGTAGAATGTACTTACCATCCATACATGAATGCCAGTGCTCGTTTTGCTGCGTCTTGGTCCTTTTCCGACTGATCGTCATAAGGCACAGCCCAATCTACATTAAGCGTAATGCCAATCTGACCCTTTTGAGACTTCTATAAAAGACCAAGACACGGACACAGTTATAAAAAAGATTCATTAATTATAATGTAACAATAAAAAGATCATTAAATGGATGATTCAATTAATATTAGATGGCCCACCGTGAATTGATGAGAGATCAACCTGATTTTAACCTAATTGTTACTGAATTGACAATATACTCTGGTATCAACTTAAAAGTTATGGTCCGTTTATTAGGCATGTTTGAAATTAGTTTAGATGGATAATTTTTGTGATACATGTGACAAAAATTGAATTTTGATAACAAATAAGTTTTTTTAGCGGATTTAAGTCAAACGAAATCCATATAGGGGGACCGATCTCCAAATTTTTCTAATTTTTAAGTGTTTTTAAATAAAATAAGTAAGATACGTTTTAATCTTGATTTTTTTACCAGCTTAAGAAACAATATTTTGGACCAAAAAAATTTATTTACGTTGATTCAAGAAATTGATTTTATGAGTTTTTCTTTTGGATTTTTGGAGTTTTATCGTAAGTCTCACATAATTTTTTTAGTTTATTATATTCATAAAATATTATTAATGACGCAAAAAAATTAAAATTTCGTATTTTGAAAATTATTATACATAATCTATTATACATATAATTATTCTTTTATTTTAACACAAAATAGCCAAAAAAAACTAGAAAATTACTCCAAATAGACCCATTGTCCACTAAGTAAATGGCCCACGATGGCCAAACTCAACAGACCAACTCATCTGGGTCAGCCTGTGGGCCATTTGCCGATCCATTATAAAGTAATGAAATACTAACCTGGAAGTTCTCTCCTCTATAGACTTTGACAGCTGCAGCATGAGCAAGAAGTAGATGATGTGAAACCAGGTAAGGTTCCGTCCCCGAATTTCCTTCTTTGCAATCCGAAGTTACAGAATTTACATATCTACTCACGAAAAATGCATAATTCCCATGGAGTGCACTTTGGTCACCGGAACATCTATTAGGAGGAAAAGTACCATATGCATATCCAAAAACACTATAGGAAAATGGCTCATTTATTGTGATCCAATGCTTAATTCTATCACCAAACAGTCTAAAACACAGCCATGCATAATCCGCAAAATCACTCCTGCTCATTGAACAAAACAAAACATAGGATCAGTCATGTGGGCCACACAAAGACAGATTTTTACTCAATCTATTGGGTATTAGCAAAAGATTCGCTACTTGAATTCATACTGTTGATTTTACATCGAGAATAACAGAGAAAAAATAGCTTATAAGGAATTATAAAACTTTAAAATGCAGTATCAATTACATACACAATGGTTTTGTTCAAAAAGCCTCTATATTCATCTTCAAGTGCTTGTGGAAGATCCAAGTGGAAGATGGTCGCAACAGGCTGCATTCCTGGACCAGGAATACAAAATATTTATTTAGTAAATCATTTACAATAATAACAACCAATATCATTGTGAGTCAACCTGTTAATTATGTGTTGGGTAAAGCAGATTCGTGTTGGGTCTGAACAAATTTGTGTTAAAAAAAAACTCCATTGATACTCGATTCATTTGTGTCTAATGAATCGTGTCATATTGAGTTCGTGTCGTGTATACCCTATTCTCGACATGAATGACCTGCCTTTAATCGGAGTGGAGATATAATTAGTCAAGTTGGGCGTAACCCAACCAAAAAAAGAAAGAAAGATAGAGGCTTTAAATCACAACCTTGGGACAGGATCTCATTGGTCAGATTGTCGTAATATTGAATTCCTGCTCTGTTCAATCCTCCACTTATCTTTCCACCTAATAACAAAAATTATAACGTAAATTTATGATTACACCAAGTCCTCGCCATTAAAAGAAAACAGAGTCTAAACGAAGATATATTCAAAAAAAAATTATTGTATAATAAACGCAAAGATAATGACAGATTAACAAAAAAAGATAAATGAAAACAGAGTCTAAATGATGGACGTTGGCTTATAGGGACAAACAAAATTTAAATTTCAAATGAGTAAAAGTTATATCAAAAGCGTCACCATGTCAACGCCACATTATTTAGTTCATGTTTTTATGTGTCATTTTTAGTACGTGTTCCTCGCATATATATATATATATATATATATATATATATATATATATATATATATATATATATATATATATATATATCTTACGGGGTAATATTTTGGTCCACGCGATGGAAAATCTGTAAGCATCGAATCCCAAATCCTTCAACATACTTAACATCTTCCTGAGAGTTTTTCCAGTCTTCATATCAATAGAGTATAGAGATGAACACAAATTGCTAGATACCTCATTGAAGCCAATAATCAAACATCAGGAGTGCAAGAAATACCTTGTAACGATGATATGAATCATCTGCAACCTTCCCACTACTATGATCCTTCACCTTATCTGCCGCACATTTCCAAATTCTCAAAGTGAATTAAGACAGTAAATTATATCAATAAATTAGATTCTCAAAGTGAATTAAGACAGTAAATTATATCAGTAAATTAGATGCTAATAGTATTGTTTTTTCTTTTTGGGAATTAATTTAAGGATCAAACTCAAGTGGCCTGAAGTTTCTAGAAAGATGGTCTTTAGAATCTCATACAATACAATGAATTTTGAATCCCAAACTTATCAACATGTTAAAATAGTCTAAATTTATTCAATATTTTAATTCGAGAGACGACGTCATCTTTTGAAGTTTTGTTTCCTTCCCAAAACTTGATTTTACAATCCCTCGTTTTACAACATTATTTTTTGTATCTCACACTCCCTTTTCACGCAATTTTGTGATTTTGTCATATTTCACCCAATTTTATGGTTACACTAATGCTTCATTCGGTACGATGAAAAAATAGAAGGATGAAAATTTAAAAGGATGAAAAGCTGGAGGGATAAATAAAACATTATGTTTGGTAAGGAAGGAAAGTGAGAAGGATGGAAAAGTGAATGAATTAACTTTCCTTCCAGCTCACCAAAATCAATCCCTCCAAAATCGAAAGAAAAATGGATGAAAAGTTAATTATTTGTATTGAGATGTATATATATATATATATATATATATATATATATATATATATATATTATGTATATATTAATTTTATATAAAAATACAATGGTAAAATATGTATATATATTAAAAAATTTTAAAAATAAAATTAAAAATTAAAATTAAAATTAAAAATTTTAAATTAAAACAAAATATTTTTTCTATATTAACTAAGGGTGAAAATTTTCAACTCAACACGATGACACGACTTGAACTTGATACAAAAACAAAACAGGTTAACTCGCAACTCGATACGACACAATTAGTTAAATGAGTTAAGTTAGATTTGACTAATATTCGACACAAACCTGTAATAATTCAACATCAATCTGACATGACACGACTCGATTGTCATCCCTAATTTTATCCAGTATAAAAAAAAATAGTCATTTTTATTTTTCATACATCCAACCAAAGACAAATGAAGGAAAGTGTATTCTTTCTACTTTCCATCCTTAAATAATAGAAAATATATCTCTTCTATTTTTCATCATTTCTACTTTTCATCCCCTACCAAACGAAGCATAAAAAAATTTGGGAAAGTCCTTCGAAGCGATTTCGGATTTTAGGGCAGATAAAAAAGGGAGTAATGCTCCCCTTAAAGCATGTAAAAATTTTGGAAAGCCCATAAGTCTCTGCTATAAAAAAATACAATCTAACCATCATATAGGTTTTCACTTTTTTTTTTTTAAATCAAATTACTTTTAACTTCAAATTAAAAAAAAAAAAAAAGGGTTTTCAATCTGTGCGACTATAAATGCATGCGATATCCTGATTTACAAGCAATGTCATTCAGACTTAATTTGAGAATATAATATCAAACCTAATAAATTTTGGTCATTAAAATATGAGTGGGTTTCAAAATGTATTATCAATCTAATAGTTTCAATGCATCACGTCTCCAAGTTAGATTCACAAATTAGGTCCAACTAGCATTGTTGTTGTAATACCGTACACAAAAAGTCATATCGCTAGGTTTCGATCGAATACTGGTATAAAAGTGAAATCATATCATCGTCATCATATGATGTTACTATTTAATAATAAACTTATAAGTGGATAAGGTGCACTCCACTTTGATAATTATTTTCACATTACGTGGTTTCCAAATGACATGGATGAGGGATTACTAAAATATGTAAATTTCATTTGCTTATTTGTTGTGTTATTATTGTTGTGTTATTATTCGATGGTGACCCCATGTGACAATGGCGAATGATGATATAGTATCACCGTTATATTTAATATTTTCTCATTTCCATGGGGGTAACTGGTGGGAGAGAGAGAGAAAGATGCCTGGGTGTTTCTCAGTGAGCGTGTCCCAAGTACTTGGTCCTTTACCATCTTCATTTGCAGCACCTTCAACCTGCAAAAACACACACACACACACAAAACACATATGCATCATCTCTATGTGACCTAGCTCTTCGAAAAAAACTTAGTTTCCGTTGAGAACAAGTCAAGAAGAATGCCTGGTAAGCAGATGAAGCTGCTCCAAATATGAAATCGGCAGGGAAATCTTTCCCATTAATCGTTTTACCATCTTCCGTGTCATCGCCATCTGAATCGTCACTAACAAGGTCATCAGCACGATTGGTATAAGGCGCTGAGAGAGCTAAAGCAATGAGGAGGAGGACGAGGAGGACTCTGGTTGACATGGTTAATTGCTTCTGAATCTTAATGGGCTTGGAAACTTATATATAAGACTTCCACACTCACTGTGTCATATACGATGCACGAAATTTATGATTCTTTTCAATTTCGCTATATTTTTCAATTCCATTGCTTGGAATATTTGACAAGAATTAGAGTAAATAAAAGGGTGAAATAAATAATATTTTTAATTTTTTTTGAATAAGTAGTAGTTAATAAGTGGGGCAGAGGGTGATTACATAGAGCATGTGACAAAATGTAGGAGGATAAAGGAATACTTATATATATATATATATGTACAAATTACGATAATTTTATTTAAATTTAATTTATTGAAATAATTTATTAATATAATATATTATAATTATTGAATTGATTGTGAGTTTCAACAAATACTAAAGTTCACTGTCAATTCAATGATTATAAATGATTAAGCTAAGAAACAATTATTCAGAAACAAAAACTTCAAAAGGAGACACCAAAACACTTCCCTCCTTTATTGACCGTAATAGATACTCCATAATACTATTTGCTAACTTAATTTACTAACCTGATTCAACATAGCCAATGGATTGTAGCGGATTCTAATCAATATCGGAGACCACTGTTAATCCCAAGTAATGGTATATAGTATTACCTTTTCATTAAGGAAAAAAAGGGTTCTAAGGGGGCAATCGAGGTAGAACCCAGGGTGTGACTATTACAGTCCGAACCCATGCCATAACCATCAAGACGTGTTCTAACCTCGAGTTTTCAGGATGGTTGTATTATTAAACTACCATCTAGTTTATAAGTTTAAGTTCTTAGAGATCCTCACGCTGCAGGCTAAATTTTGGAGTAACACGAGAAAATCTTTTTATAATCGGAGTAGCTTTGAGAATTGGACACAAGGCCTCCTATTCTGATTGTCAAGTGCAACTGTTATCTGTTCTAAAAACTTAAGTTGTTATACAACTTAAGTCTTCATACTTTAATAGGGATATTATCTTAATGACGAGGTAAGACATTAATCTTCGATAATTGATCTTTGTTCAATTGATAATCTTCACCTAACTTTCACTAACAGGTTAATCGATTTGGATTGAATACAGAAGTGCTCATAGTGGCAACCAAAATCTTTCCTGATCGACCTGACATTGGACCTTGTTTGAAGCAACTCCTATAACTTTAAGTGGCCACTAATACATTTCTGTGATACATGTGATTAGTGGTGCTTGGATGCTCCATTAATAAGAATGTGTCCTACCTAGTGGCCACCAAAAGAAGTGTAGTTAGTGATCTTACAACATCTTCAATAACTTCTTTATTTTCACTTGACTTTTTATTTTAGATAACTAATTAAATATCAAAAATCAAATTTGAATAGACGCGATCTGTATTTAGAATAATTAAAATAGATAAGTTTGGCTCTCCACAATTGGAGAGTCTAGTCCACTCTCTATTCTATTTTTAATGAATAAAAAGTTGATACATACACATTCTTCGTTAAATTCTGTAACACGTTTTCTACTAGAATAATTAGTCTGTTGAAGTTGTCTAAAACATTTGTGCAAATTGTATTTTGTACTTTGAAAGATTTTAAATTTTTTACTTTGTACCTTTAAAAATTAATTTTTTTATATTACACTTTCAATATATCAAAAATGTTGTAATGTAATTCTTCTGTTAACTTTTCGTTAGTTTTTCTGTTATGGTCAATGGGTTAGCTTTTAACGGAAAAAATAACAGAAGCTAACGGAAGGACTACATTATAACTCTTTTGACATATTAAAGATACAATATGAAAAATTTAATTTTTAAGGGTATAAAATAAGAAACTTGAAATCTTTCAAGGTGCAAAGTCTGGAAAGTCCACATTAAGATTTGAATTTGGGTTGTAATTCCGCTTCAATATATCGGGTTAAAATCATATTTCTGTTTAATCAAAATCAAAGTAAACCAAACTTTGTTTTTAGCTCTAAAATTGAAGATAAATTCCATTCTTTACTCAAAACTAAAATAGAAAACAAAAACAACAAATTTTCCAACCATAATAAACTTCAAAGATCAACAATAACGAATGAGGGGTGCAATACAGATGCCGTAACATATTTATATGTGTATGTGTAATTTTTAATTTTTTTTCAAGCTTAGACTGAACCTGATATCATAATTTGGGTATGCGTTCGGGGTTAAACTTGTTAACCCGAAGTCCCAATTCAAGTATTAACCAAATTTAATTCGGATTGAATTTTTTTATCCAAGCCCAACTGAAATATTGAAAACTTGTGGTTGGGTTTAGATTAGTCCACCAAAGTTGCTCCTCTACAGACATATTCATAGAAGACCGAGTACTATGCCACTAAATAAGAGTGGGGTGGTAGCTATTGACAGATTCTTCGAGGGATAGACGATGATCAAAATTTACTTTAAATGAAATAGTATAAAAAGATGACTCTTAATAAAATACAATGGTGATACAAGATTTATATAAACGCCCTAAAAATATTATAACAAGATTTCATTGATATTCTCATATAGTCTAAATCTCCATCCAATTGGTATTAATCTTTGTTGGATGTATTTTTAATGATAACAAAATCACTTATTGAAGTCTTTGATTTGTATCATGCAAATTAGAATAAAACAGTATCCATCAAGAATGAAACAGTATGAATCATGTTTGAAGAACCTTCATATTTCAAGAAATTCTCGAATGGCTGCAATAAAATAACTGTAATGGATTTAATTAATCATGATTGATACACCATTAACAAGAATGTGTTCTCCCTAGTGGCCACTAAAAGATGTATTTGCTGCTCTCGAGCATGGTGATATATCTGCTATTTCTTGCAATCAAGTTTTCTCAATTTTTCACAGTGATGTACTATATATTTCTGTGATACACGAAACTTGATCGTTCAATATAGATAGATAAATAAGTGAGTCGTTCTACCAATATACGAGAGTGATCTGCCATTGAAGAAATTTCAAGAGAAAAGTGTATAGGGGGATCTATATCCACTTTGATAATATTTCTTTTTTGTAGAACCATAAATTGAGATATTAAAATTATAATTAGGGTTAAGAAATATTTTAGTTTTATTGATTGAAATGGAGAGTTGCATTAGCCTTGTAACATATTTTTTTCTTGTGGCGAACTAAAATGGTGTTTGATAAAACGAAAAACTAAATACTGAATTTTAAGTGCTGAATACTAAATTTTTTAATTTGAAACTTTTTGATATATACTGAAATTTGTGTGTCAAATTAAATCAAACTGTTTAATAAGTACAAAAATTATAGTCTAAAAGTAAATATTTTTTCTATTTTATCCTTATCCTCTGTACTTAACACCTCTTTGTTCAATATGCATAAATCTGCACATATTCTTTCGATGTTCTGTTAGTATAACATATTGAATCACATTAAATACTACTCTCCAAAACATGTTACAAAAACTTATCTTTGACAAGCAAAAATTAATTGAGTTTTTATTAAGTCTAAAGATAAGTACAAGGGAAAGGTATCTAAATAGTAAGGTCAACCATAGAAAATTGAGAATGACATGTCACATTAAATCACCAATACGGCTCTGTTTGACAACGCAGAAAGTTTAAACTTCACCAATGGCAGCAAGGTCCACCAGAGAAAGGACATCGGTTTCGTTATATACAACCCAATTAAAATCTAAATCACTCTTTTTGCATCTCGCCGATTATCCTCCAAAATCCATTCTGACCATCTATATCCTTAGTTTTCCCAAGACTCCAATGAACAAGATGCTCTTGAGTTGCTGCCCGACTGAGAAGAGCCTCCCCAGAAAGATGAGTTTATTTGCAACAGAACTAAGAGGGGAGAGGGCTGTTGTAGAGTATAAGCAGTGGCCGATAATAGTTGATGACAATCTTGTCCATTGTGATAAAACTTTTACAACCCAGCTGCTAAGCGTGTTAAGTGATAAAACTAAGTAGGGTGGGGATTCCTGAAAATTTTGGCTTGCATCTGGATGGAACTTAATTCATTAAGTGATTCAATTATTGTGTTATCAAACAAGCTTTAATTCATTATTCATTGAATAAGTGCAGTTTTAAGCATTAAGTGGAGCAATCAAACAACCCCAAACTATATATCATCTATCCAATTTGTAGTAGTTGTTAGTAAAAATGACTGTTGTTACTATGCTTTTCACTCATGTTTCACATTTTCTATCGGAGGCTTATTTAGACGTTCTATATATACCACTACTAATTAATCCATTTGCAACTCTTTCATGCTTTACATAAAAGGGTTTTGACATAAAATATAATTAAATAAAAATATATTTTTTTAAAAAAAATAGAGATTTAAGTGACTAAAAGAGTATTTACGGAGAGAAGTAGACATAAGAGAAAGCTTACTAGATTTGAGGTGAAGAAAATTTGAAGATTTAGCACATTATTTGTAAATTTTTTGGTTGGCATTGTATATATAACCCAAATGAACACAACAAACAAAAAAATGAAAATCATTAGTAAGACCCATGACCCGGCGAAGAAATGAATGAGGTAGGCCCCCGGCCAATAGGCCAAAATATGGGCCGATATCGGGGCCTATCATCTTGTCAACAATAAAGTGTGATGACGATTCACCAAATTTTGTATGTCAAATTAATGTGAATAGTTAGATCAACGAAATTTACTAATTTTCACTAAACATTCGATGTATAAGAGTTTGCATATGATTTGGTATATAATATTTTATAAACAAATTTGAGAATCACAATTTTGTCCATCTTGGAAGTAGGATGTGTGACCTAGATCACATGATTCGTCCATAATGATGGTGCTCTATCGCTCCAAATGTGAATCCATGCTTTGAGAGAAGATTTGCCATGATTTCGTGCATAAATCCGCATATTTGATTGATAAGTTCGACGAATTTGACTGACCAAAAACACGTATTGAGATTATAGAATTCACAAATTTATTTTAAAGATGATCAACATGTTTGACACAGATTTGTAACATGATTGAACTTAGACATAAGAATCATTCAGCAGATAAGGATTAAGCCAACGAAAAAGAGATTGATTAAAAGTAAGTAAAAAACCGAGGACATATTTAACCCTGAATGATAGAAACCCACATACTTCAATCATTTAACCCCAAAATTACACCTATTATGCAATTACACAAACAAAAGATGAAATTGACAGAATTTGTGAAATATAACGGTAAAATAGTGTAAGTTTTTGAAAGTTTTAGAGAGCCCTCCTGTTCTTCGTCTTCAACTTCTTCCTTGCGAGTGTAGAAGGTGAAAGAAAAGCCCACACCCTTCCTCCAATCATCTCACTCTCGCTTCCACTCCTGCTTACGTTCTGTGTGGCTTAGTGTATGACCATTACTATTGTGTTGTTCTAGACTTTACATATGTCTGCAATCTAGCCAGAATAGATGATGTTAATTTTTGGGCATGAACAGTTAGTCAAATTAATTTCATGGGTTCGACACCGAATCACTAGCAAAGAGCTTGTGAACAGTTTGCCTAAGCTAAGGAAGTCTAGTAACACGGTATGTGCCCCATGTCAAATACGAATAGGAATTAGAAGTACACACAAATTAGACAATCGAGCCGATCTTCGGCTCGTTTATAAATAAAATTATTGAGTTACTTAAGTTTAACTTAAATTCGGCTCATTTTGAACTAGGTTTAGATAAGCAAAGTTTAAACAATTTTTTAAACTTGATTAAAAAAATGAGTTCAATAAGCTCGGCTCAATTTTACAAAATTCAGCTCGTTTTGAACTCGACTCAAACGAACAAAGTTTGAATAATTTTTTAAACTCATTTAAAAAAACGAGTTCGACAAGCTCAGCTTGAATTTGTAAAGCTCGATCATCTACCTTAATCGCTATCACAAAATCATCGGAATTGATCCATGTGGATCTCATGGGTCCAATGAGAAAAGGAGGGTATTAATTGGTGCCAAGCGATATATATTTAATCCAATTTCACATAATTTATATCGTCTCAACTAATTTTTCAGAATTGGATATATATTAATTGGTGGCAAGTGAATGCACTTGTATAAGAGCCTTTGCTCTTTAAGAATGGCATTAATCAAATGAGTTTTTAACTACTCATCATCCTCAATGGTGTATTACATCACCTTTGTTGCAGCAAATGGGAAAATATAATGGTTGCTTCTTTGGTCTTTCAAAGACCACTGAAGAAGGGTGAAATGAAACATACTTTTTGACCCGTTTAAAAGAACAAGTTTGATAAGCTCGGCTCGATTTTATAAAATTCAGCTCGTTTTGAACTCAGTTCAACAAATAAAGCTTGAATAATTTTTTAACTAGTTTTAAAAAATGAGTTCGACAAACTCGGCTTGAATTTACAATACTCGATCATCTGCCCTAATGGCTATCACAAAATCATTGGAATTGATCCATGTGGATCTCATGGGTCCAATGAGAAAAGGAGGGTATTAATTGGTGGCAAGCGATATATATATTTAACCCAATTTCACATGATTGAGATTCTCTCAATTACTTTTTCAAATAGGCTGAGTCATGGACTCGACTTGAGTCATTTTATGTTGATCGATAAACACTTGTCATTGTTCGATTTTATATATTTAATTCTTAATATTGTCAATAGACTTGACTATAACTTGACAATGCTCTCATATAATATTAAAAATTAAAAAAAAAAAACTGAAATATAACAAAAAAGGGGAAGGGAAACCAAACAATCCTAACAGAAAACCCGCTCAAAACAACAACCTAAAACGCCTCTGTTCCCATAAACTCAACCACACTCATACCAAAAAAAAAACTAACCACAAATGCAAAACTTTTATACTAAAAATAGCAAATTTTAAAAGTCCAAGAATAGCACAAACCACCCCTATAAATTCCCTCTCACCACCATCCTCATCTCCTCAAGGACACACACACAAAGGCAAGATCCGGCAACAACTCTCAAACTTCTTTGAGTTTTCTTGCCGATCACGCCTTCGTTCGCCATGGAAATGAAGAAGATCGCATGTGCAGTCCTCGTTGCCGCCGCCTCCATGACCACGGCTATGGCGGCCGAAGCTCCAAGCCCAACTCCGGTACTGTCCAGTGATGCTGCCACCGCCTTGCCGGCCGCTGCATCTTTGGTGGGGGCTTCGCTTGTGTCCTTCTTCGCCTTCTACATGCACTAAACTCACAAAAAAAAAAAAAAGAAGGGGAATGATGAAGGAGACGTCATAGAGAAGGAAAAATAAGAGATTAGATTTTCTTCTCTTTCTCATTTTTTTATGTGTTACACAAAATCTGATACAATGCAATAAAAGAATTATTTAATATTTATTTTCGGAAAATAATGTTTCAGGGATTTGATTAATGTGTATAGAGTCCTATTAACTACGGAAAAAATATTTTTTCAGTATCATACGTCCAATTTCCAACTTATAAGAGCGCTACATGTACAATTTTTTTATTTTATAAATTACTTTATCATTTCTCAATCAATAATTATAAATTATTTAATTTAAAATTAATCACTGAGATTGATAGAAGTACGGTACCGTCATACCCACAATTTGTATGATTAAAAATTCTTTTTGTTGCATTCCAACGTTAAAACTCACAATTAAATTAGATTTTTGATTAAATACTAAATTAGATCTTTATATCATTGCTCGGGTGGTTGTCTACCCGTATATGGGCCGAGCTTCTTGGGACAACATTTTTGTCTGAATTACGCCCACGGGCCAGCCGTTATGGGCCTTTAGCAGACTATCCACTTGTTTTTGTTTTTTTTTATTTTTTGGATTGCGAAAAAAAAGTTTGGAAATTAGGATGGATGTACAAACACACCATAAAATGACACGGATATTTTCGGTTCTTGGGGCATGAATCGTTTTAAGAAAGCGACCTAATCCAAGTCTTACTCTACCGTTTACTTTATTTTTTGAATTTATTTTTCCTACATAAGATCAAGGTATTGGTCATTAATTCATGAGGCATTGCAAACAGGTTGATCACAACGTTGTGGTGCAAAAAATGCTAGATAGGAGAAGAAAAAGTTAAACATAATGAAAGATTGAGATTATATTGTCTATCACATAATAGAATCAATTGATTTGATAACGATAATTAAGATGACTTGGAATTGATTTGAAGAATCTTAAATGACTTGACAAAATCATGTGAAACTCGTGACATACATAGAATGTGAAACCGTAAAAGAACTAAAAATTTCAAATTGAATATGATTCCAACGAATCACATCAATATTCTGAAGAATGATGGTGACCCCATATATATAAAAATGTGGTAATTATAAGAGTGAATCTTTATGGTAATTGTTAGATTTTGTTATTTTATCGTGATTATATGTAGGATTTCGCTTTGGTACCAAATGATGCCAAAAATTGGCCGCCACCGACCGTCGAGGGAGTTGTTTAGCAAGTCAAAGATTGGAGGGATTTTAGTAATCGATCCTTTGATGCTTAAGTTAAAAGAGAAATTTAGAAAGCTGAATATCATATTGAATTAGGATTGCTTACCTAGTTGATCTTCTGTCCTCCCTTGTTATAGACAGTAATGATGTCGTTGGGGATGTTTACCCCTTTGCTTGAATTGGGATGAATCTCGGATATCCAATAATGCGGCAGAGGTAAACTCCTTGTCCAAGTGGAAGTCAGCTTGATTGAGTTGAACTAGTCAAGCCATAGAGGAACAAGACTCTCGAGAGCTGTAGGGTTGGGGAACTAGAGAACTAGAGCTCCACCAATCTGTCATCCTCCATGTGCCGAGCTCGTGTTCAAATATTTGTATCTATCACAATGTATATTTATTTCATATTTCATCACCAATGCATTTTTTTATAAAGTATTTTTATTTTGAACATCCAAACAACACCTATTTAATGAAAGCATTTTTACTTGTAAAATAATTTTTATAAACACATATTCATGAAATAGTTATTAATTTTTATTAGCCATTTCAAACGCCACTTAAATATTTGTTATTTCATAAGTTAGAGAGTGTTAAACGAAACTCAAAAAAAGAAAACTCAAATCTGGATATGTACACAAGGGAAGGTCCATTAGAGTATTTTACATACACACTCAGCAAGATTCACAAAAGGGTAAATTTTACTGACGCTATCTGAATTTAAGTTATATTTTATTGACACTCTTGTTAATTTTTAAAATATTACTGCAGTTTATATAAACATTTCACAAAATAAACCCTATTATCTAATGCCCTTAATGACAAGCAAAAAAAGGTGTGATATGATGGCTATTCTCTTATGAGTTACCAATTTTACCCTTGGCTATATAAAACAAGCTTAAAATAGTAGGAAACATCATTTTAGTATTAATTTAATTAAATTAAATGAAAATTGGATTAAACTGAATGTTTTCTATAAAAAACTGGATTAAACAAAATGTTAATTTAGTGTTAATTTTAAAAAATAATATCAATTTGATAAAACTAAATATTAAATTCAAAAATTGAATGTTAATTTTATAAAATTGAATGACCATTTGGTATTGATTTGACAAAATTGAATGTTAATTTGAAATTAAATCAAAAAAAGATGTTCATTTGATAAATTGGATGTTAAATTGATGAAATTGAATATTGATTTTGTGTTAATTTTATAAAATTGAATATCAATTCGATAAAATTGAATATTAGTTTCCTCATGAAAAATTTTGCAAAATTTAAGATCAATTCATGTTAATTTGATAAAAATCTTGTATTAATTTGATAAAATTTTATGTTAATTTGATAAAATTGATAGTTAATTTAGTGTTAATTAGATCAAAGTGAATATTAATTTGGTAGTTAATTTGATGAAGTTTAATGTAGTTTTGACCAAATTGAATGTTAATTTAATTAGTGTTAATTTTATGAAATTAAATATTAATTTGGTATTAGTTTAATAATATTAAATGTTAATTGGGTGAATTGAATGTTAATTTGACAAGTGTGAATGTTAGTTTGGCAAAAATTAATGTTAGTTTGGTGCTAATTTGATAAAATTAAATATTAATTCAATGATAATTTGATAAAATTAAATATTAATTGGATAAAATTGAATATTAATCAAACAAAAATAAAGATCAATTTGATATTAATTTGATAAAATTATAGATTAATTTTATATTAATTTGAGTAAGGGTAATGAAGTGAAATGGGAGTTCTACTAAAGGTAATTATATAAAATTACGTCCTCCGTTAAACCCGTTAATAGATAAAAATTGACAAGAGTATACAATGATATTTCAAAAAATAGAAAGTTTATTAAAGAAATATAACTTAAATCTAGAGAGTGTCAGTGAAATTTACTTTTCACAAAATTGTTGTATCAAACTAAAGGTCAAGTCTGGTCTCGAGAGGTGTTTCAGGCACGATCATGAGTCATAAAATCTCATCGGTAAGGGCCTATCAGAGTGGTCGTTGGGCACTCAATCTTACTCCCACCCCCTTTTTTTGGCAGCAAAAAAAGAAAAAAGTATCGACCCCACTCCCCCAGTCCCTTGAAAATGTGTTAGATTCATCGTTTGCATGCTAAATTCATCGCTACGTAGAATTAAAGGACTTGACTACGGTTCTCAAAAAAGAAAAAAAAATAGTATCGTATTTTTAAATTTATTAATTTAATGAGTATTTTTATAATTTTTGTAGATAATTTTATAATTAAAAAATTTATCATAATTTATCACTGTTGTGAATATTTTTAATATTATTGTGATAATTATTTTTATCACTTTTTTCAGTTCAAAAAAAATTTATCACATTTGTGGGTAATTTATTACTGTTGTGAGTGTTTCTAAATAAAACCAATTCACACATATATCTATATTTATATCTATACTACTATAAATGTCAGCATTTGCGAAAAAATTTTGACTTCCTATTTTATCAGTAATTATTATAATAAGGTCAACTATATCCATCTATCTATTTTCACCTAATTTTTATTTTTTTACACTTATTTGACTTTCAACTTATTTTAAACTATTTTACAAAAACTTATAAATTCTTTTGAACTCATTTATTAGTAATATAGTTACATACAATTATCTATATATATATGAAGAAATAAAGTCTTATATATGTTAAATTATTATACACATATAATTATCAGTTTGAATTCTAAATTCAAATATATGTTATATTTTATTTTTCGATATGAAATAAAATAATAATAATATAAGCAATCTATTTAACAAAAAAAAATTAATAATTCCATAATATATTTAGATATGCAAATGCTTAAAGGGATCGAAAAGATACCTAAATAAATGACATATTAGTTACTTAAAAACTTATATAATAAATTAATAATTAAATTTAGTAATAATAAATTAAAATATGAATTAATTATTTGACCCCTAATTTATTATTTATTTATTTTATTTTATTACACATATAATTCACATTTTTATAAAAATAATATTATTTAAATTTATTTACGCGCAATGCACGACGTAAATAAAAATACCAATTCACGTTTCAGATAAAACAATATGAAAAAAGTCCACAATCCTTATTCCCAGATTTTAACTACCAGTGTTTATTGACAAATCATTCGTTATTAATGAGCGGAGGTGGCTCATTATTTATTAACCTGTCTAATTCATTCATAAATAAATAAATTGAGTATTTATATTAATTAATGCAGGTTCAAAATAAATTGGGTAATAGGAATCATTTTAATTAAACAAGTTAAGATGAATTATAATAAATACCCATTGAATTGAGTATTTATTTTTATATTAAATAATATAAGTAATAAAATTAAATAAATACATTAGTATACTAAAAAAAACACACACACTAGTTCATCGAGAGCACACTAATACACTTGGCCCGACCCGACCCATGATTCACGGTCCAACCCGTGACTCATGACCTGATCCACTACCCGACCCCTGACATAAGTAATAAAATAAATATTTTTGTGTTTTTTGTGTCTTAGTATATTTGTGGGTATTTGTTGACGTATTAGTGTGTATTTTTGGTGTATTAGTATATGTTCATATTAAGAGTTTTAATTATTTTACGGATTAATGGATTTAACTCAACTCATTATAACTCGTTTATTAAACGGATTAGAAAAAAATTGAATTTGTTTTGCACCTAAACTATCTTGAACCAACCCATAACCAACTCAACCCGGCCAATTTGTCACCTTTATTAATAAGCGAAGAATTCACTTGTACAAAATGGATCCCACTTGAATGTATAATAGGTAATGAGTCACTTGTATACAATAGATCACATTTGAATATGTGACTAGTTGATGTTCA